GCGTGGTGCAGTCAGCTGAGCCTGGGGAGACGGAAGGAACCCATCTGTCTTGGGAAAGGTCATCTGAAAGGCTCTGATGACATTTTGTCTCCCTTGGGCTCAGCAGTTAGAGCCAACGGCTTCAGAGAAGGATAGAGGGAGGCAGCATTTTCATTGCACTGGTGAGCAGGATTAAGAGATTCATGTGGTGTACAGAACGCATTACTCAAACAATCTGCGCACCGAAGTGCCTCAGATGAACTTGGTCGAAATTCCATTCTTACCACTGATAGAACGAACACATCTGAATAGAGCTTCAAGTATTAAAACAAAAAACACGACGAAACAAAAAACCAGGCACTTTCATGCTCAACCCTCATTTCTGCATCTGCAAAATGGATTTCACGCTGACTTCACAGTCCGTAACAGAGATTAAGCGGAATAACAGTAAAATACCTTCTCAAGTACGCGGTAGGGGTAGGTATTTCCCTTACCCGATGGTGACCATTAGTTTACACACTATTTTGTAGGAACCTCGTTAACACCAGGTACGTTGGGAATTATCTAATCTCTCATTACATTATGGCTCTGTACCACGAGATGATTTTTCTCTGAAGGCGAGACTTGGCGGATCCGTTTGGGCAAATACTAACAAATACGTGCACCCCGATCTACAACAGTGCTTGTAAAATACTGAGGAACCAGAGCTTTTAGACCTGTCAAAGTAAACAGTTCTGTGAAGCTCTTGGAGGCAAGTCTCCCAGCTAGGCTTCTGTTTTTTCAAGAACGAGGTTGCTGACAGCCAGACTTGAAAAGCAAGTACAACTTAATCTCCTCCCTCCAGCAGGTGATGAGGCAAAAATCAGCACTACCTGTTTGGAAAAGCTGCACGGGGCTGGCTATGCCAGCCCATTTCCCTCTCAGACAGCCCTGAAGACTTGGCAACCAGGCTAACACAGAATCCCAGCGGCTTCCGGCTCCTTATAGGTACCTGGGAGTCTCAGGCACTGGTCTCAGCGAGGAAAAGGCCCCAGGGCATTGCTTCTATCTGTCCCAAGCATCTCAATCTGTCCTCAGACTCTTTTCCAGGCATCTTAGTAGTCAAACGGCCAAAAAAACCTCTGAAAGCCAATTGTTTTTTTTCCCCACCAGGGAGAGAACTCAGGTAGGGGAAGGAGACTACAAAACCTTTAACTGTCTAAAAATAGTCAAGTCAGGAAACCGGGCTCTCCTCGTGTTCCCCCCAAGGCAAAGAGTGACAGAATGTCAGGGAGCCGACACTGCAGACAGAAGAAAGAGCAGTCTCCTGTCCGCGCCATCTCGGGAAGGCAAGGGAAAGGGCAGACATCAGGAAGAGAACTAATGGTCTGCCAGGGGAAGAGGGACTATGGCTAGGGCACTGCCAGTGTTCTTGCCATTTCCACGAAGACTGTGTCTCACCAATTAAAAAGAGCTTTCTCATCTGGAGGTATACAAAGACATACACCACCATCTGTAGAATCTGTATCAAAATTGGATTTTTTTTTTTAGAAACAGAATATCTGTTGAAAAAGTCTCCGAAAGCACCCATACTGTTAACGTTTGGTCAAAAGACAATCAGAACCAAGGTCGGCAGCATGAACTCTAAAGAAAAAAGCAGGTAGTACCCATAGATTTCCACCCCAGCTTGATTTTCCATGTTAGCTATTTCAGAAATCCTGTACAATATTCTCATGGAATTTTCTCATGATACAAGGAGTATTATTGAATTTGGAAGGCTGTCATTTTAGTGAACAAACATTTGTTCTCCCAGTACATCAAACAAAAGCGTGAACACGAACTGCTGGAGTCTAAATAATGGTTCAAAATCCGGAAAGAGGTGGAAGGTGTTGAGTTGAGACTAGTTTTAGAATAAGATGAAGAATCCCTCTATCTTACAATGTATTACTTCAGTAATGACCAAACAGTTTGGCTTTTTTAGGTAAACTCTACAACTTGGAGATCAAGAGTCACATACTCTACCTCATACTGAGCCACAAGTTCCCCATATGGCTACAGCTCTAAAAATTAACGTCCTCCCAGGTTGCTAGATAGGATGCTCAAACTACAAATCTTTTCATTGGAACAACATGACTTTTTTTTTTTTTTTTTTTTTTTTTTTTTTTTTTTTTTTTTTGCTGTGGCATTTTCTCAAAAATACTATTACACACACACACACACACACACACACGCACACACTAAAAGATAGCTTAACAGGATGTGAACGTGCTTAAGAGTGGCCAGAGCGGCTGGGTGAGTGGAGGGAAATGCTAAGGGAGTGGGAAGAATGGTTAGGAGGGAACGCAGTAATCTGGGAAGTAAGTTCCAGACAGCTACATATAGGCAAATTGTATGGTAATGCAAATATTTATTTTCAGCTTCTATTTGGCAGAAGACAGTCCGAATTCCAAGGATCATTAATGAACCACGTGAAATACCCATCTTAGCGAAATATATTCTGAAAACTTACACTTACATCTTCTGGTTTGGTCGTATGTGTGGCTCCCAGATATTTAAGGGCATGCATCAGTTCTGCAGGTGACAAGAGGAAAGCAACCAAGGGAAGATACAAAAGTTGGTTGTGCCTGGAAAAAAACAGCTAATATTTCTTTACAAGTTCAGTGCTGCCTTCAGTGTTAAGATGACGACCAGGATTATATGCAAAAATAGTATCAAGTGAATGATGACGGGTTGGAGAGCAGAAACCTCAAAATGATAACATGACTATAAAAAACAGTAAGTACAACGCACACATACATCAAGTTGTAGATTAGACAGAAAAATGGCTCATGGCCACAGCCTGTTATGAATCGACCAAAATGTCAGAACCAGCAGTCAGTAAATTTTGGCTTAACTCAGTGATTTGGTCACCTATTATGAATGAACTTGTTAGCCAAAGATCATTTTTTGATGTTCAACTTTTTACATATCCCATCCTGGAGAAGACCGCTGGATTTTACCATAAAATTCTTCAGTTTCAGGCATATCCTAAATGGGAATAATAGCACCAGAATAAACACGATCTCTGTAGCATTAGCTAAACTGGACCACACTTACCTTCCAGCCTGAAGAATTCACTGTTAAGATGACTATATGGTCCTTTTAGCAATAAAATTAAACGATTCTTAAACATGAGACCTTTAAACTTTCAGGAGAAAGTCTGTAAATCAAAAATTCTTTAGTCGATGTGTCAGACACCAAGTAAATGTTAAGGGCTTGTAGGATAAGCCCCTTGGAAGAACTACGTCCATTCGATTTTATATACTTATATTCTGAGTCTAGTGCACGTACATATAATGCGTACTCAAGTACTGATGTATTGACAATATTAATTTGTGACAAATAATCAGGATCGAGGAAAATCTTCAAGAGAAGACACGGCAGTTAAAGTAAATCCTTCATTCAAGAATGAGATGTACCATATGTCCTTTCACAGAAAATTGAGTCCCCGCAACAATACTGCAAGTTTCCATGAGTCAAGCGGCAAGGGAATGGTGAGAATACTAAATTTTATGCTGGTTACCCCGAGGCACGGAACACAAAAAAGACCTTAACTGTCCTTATTTGGATCTACAAACAGGATGATGGACATGAACGCTGGTTATAGTATTCTCTTCTTTGCCCATTTACCAAAAAAAAAAAAAAAAAAAAAAAAAAAAAGAGAGAGAGAGAGAGAGAGAACACCAGACCTTTGCAGGGACAATCAGAGGCATATTGGTGCACCAGCAGTATTTACCAGCTAATCACCTATTTTATGAACATAATTCATTTGAGGATCAATCATCAACAGATGGTCTATGAAACTTCTTTTATAATTTCAGTATATAGTTGTGATACTTCTTATCTAGATTTTTAAGAAAATGCATTTCCATTTCTCTTAAAGAAGTGGAAATTTACTTGAGGAAATTTCTATCAGAATAAAACTGCCTTATATTGCCTGATTCAGTCAAAGCTGCTTGAAACTCCAACTTTTTACCATCATTTACTGCCTGTATCAACACAGCAGAAAAGACCTGATAATAAAGTCACAAGAATTCTGTTTATTATTATAGCAAACACTTCCACAGCATCTGACAAAACTCAGAAGTATCTGAGAAATGGGTTCAGATCTATGAAACTAAGCCAGCCAGGATGAAATCTTTATGGGGGGTGGGGAGGGGAAGGGGGAGAATGGAAAAGCAATAAATAACCAAAAGATACATTTCACATAGAGGCAAAATATAAAAAGAGGCAAAGTGATAGAATGAAAAAACAAACAAACCAAACTGCGAAGCAACGGACTAAGAAACTTTGATTCTTTCCGTCTTACTCGCTGCTAATGGTCCCCTTTGTCCCTCCACCGTTACAAATGCAGAGCAGCTAAGGTAGTAATTAAAGAATGGCCTCGCAAGACTCACCAGGAGGTCAAAAGGAATTACTGAAAAAGTGTTCAGATACTTTATAAAATATCTATTTTATTATACTCTGTCTTCCTTCGGTGAAGGTGTCCTTTGAAAATCACACTCTATTTCTTAATATCGTTTCAAATCCTTAACTAGAGAGGCTAGCTTCTTCCAGAGTGACGCTCCCGGGGCTCCGCCTGTTTTCCGCGGCACACGGATGACAGCACAGCCGTGCCACCTGCGGGAAAGCGAAGGGCAGCACAACCGTGAAGTTACGATCATCCCTGGGGCAGACGCTGTGACTCCAGCACCCTCAAGGATCACTGTGAAATCATATTCTGTGTCAGTGTGAGAGTTCTTCTACAAACAGGAAGAATCTAATTTCTGTCAACACGTGCAGTGCCAGCTATTTTCCCCAACAGACTTTTCCCCCGTAAGACAGCTGCCCCAGGAGAACCGCTGCTTACACATCCCTGTCCAGATTCAAAAAGAAAACTCGACGTCTTTCTGTGAAAAGACAGCAATACACAGGTACTGGGAAAGCTTCCTGCAACCGCGGCTTGCCCAGCCACTCCAAGCGCGGGGTCACTCCCTGACGGACGGAAGATCCTGTCCGGTGACTCATAGCTCATCAGACGTGTTGTTCACCTTTGGTAATTCACACTCGTCACTGGCGCGACAGCTCTGGAGGAGGTCCCTGTAGTGCTCCTTGAGATCCTCATATAGGGAAGCAGTTTCCTGGGAGTGAGCCAATGGCAACACCTTTTCATTCAATAGCATCTGCACCCGGAACTCTTCTTTGGGAGTCTTCGCATTCTTACAATGGTAAAGCACAAACATGAGGTTCGAGGCATAGGGCACAATGTGGCCACTTCGGAACTTCCGATGCATCTGTTCCTTGTAATTGTAAGCCGTCAGGGGCTCCTTGTCTTTGAAGTAGCCCATGAGGGAGAGCAGTGGAAGAAGGGTCTCCGCGTGACCAAACTGCAGGACGACTGGAGAGGAAACTGGCTGAGACCTTGAAAGACAAATGGAGAAAAAATATGTGTATGTATTCATGTCGTGGAGGTAATATCTACAGTAGTGAGAAGGAGCACACAACGTTCTCACCTTTTCAAATCTTTATGTACAGACGCCAACAATACGGCTAAGGTTCTGTGTGGCTGAGAACTCAATGTTTTACACTCAGGGTTAAGTTCCCACTTCAGGATCGCTGTGGTATTGCAAATCCATCTAAAACACTGCACACACGCTATTCTTTATATAGAGAGAAGAGAGTCTTTACTAGGAGATTAACGACCTCGATGCAGATATGGATTTCGAAAGCGTATGGCCCTTCCGTGAAGGACACTGAGCACACTGGCCCTTAGTAAACACTGATTACTCCACGGAGGGCTTCTGAACGAACCTCAGGCGCTACCGTATCTATATCTGGGAAATGGGGACAAGCAATACTCAGTCAAGGTCTTGGCTAAAACCTGTCTGAACAGTGAATGGTAACTCATGTACTCCTTCAATGTTTTATAAGACCTGCCTTGGGCACTACATTGGGAGAGAACCGCAAAGGGTAGAGAGACAACCTGTTCCAGCCGCCCTGCTGTGTTTGTGGCTGGAGTGGAGTCTGCACAGGGCCAGCAATACAACAGCTTTCCACACCATGAGCTAGGTCACCTTTTTTTACTGCAAGTTTTCTATGCCTTCTATGCCTTTTTTTGGTAAAGGCTTTTTTTTTTTTTTTAAATATATATACAGCAGCAAATGACTTAGTTTTCCCCCAACTTTAATAGAAAGAATATAACTTTGCTCTTAAACAAAATCTGTAAATCTACTCAAACACACTGAGCTGTCTAATTGATTAGCCTGCCAGCCCCACACCACATTACACACTTGGGGCACCTGGGTTTCCCAGTGGACAGCAGCATTTGAGCAGGTTTGGACCTTCATGATTCCCCACAAATTCAGATAGAACTAGAGAGCAGATCCCAAACCCAATGAAAACATTTACAAATAAAAGTAGGGAAAGGTTTTCTCAGTGAATCACCAACAGCCTCAGAACTGAACATGATCAGTGACCGTGTGGAAAAGCGTGTTGAAAGAGCTCACACCTGGTGGGTGCTAAGAGAACTCACACCTGCAGGATGCAGAGAGAGCTCACACCTGGTGGGTACAGAGAGCGCTCACACCTGGTGGGTGCAGAGAGGGCTCACTCCTGGAGGGTGCAGAAAGAACTCACACCTGGTGGGTACTGAGAGAGCTCACACCTGGAGGGTGCAGAAAGAACTCACACCTGGTAGGTACTGATAGAGTTCACACCTGCAGGGTGCAGAGAGAGCTCACACCTGGAGGGTGCAGAAAGAACTCACACCTGGCAGGTACTGAGAGAGCTCACACCTGGTAGGTACTGAGAGCACTCACACTTGGTGGGTGCAGAGAGGACCACGCCAGACCTCTCCCAGGCAGGGCTGGAAAAATCTAGCCAGTGGGAACTCTTGGAACAGCCGCTCTAAGGCCCCATTCTAGCCCAGAGGCTGCAAACACTAGAAGCTGCTGGGAGGGAGTCAAGACTGAGTCGGACAGGGACAAGCAAAGACCAAAAAAAGCACCAGTTGGATCAAGGTCAGGGCAGCAAACTAGAACCAGGAGATCTCAGAAAGCAACCTGCCATTTTCTGAACAGCACACACATATAGTACCAAAGAAGGGAGGCCCAGGAGGTTAAAGAAGCAACCTGATGTGAGCCACCTTCTAAATATTCAGAGAAACTAAATGCACATTAAAATGAGCGCTAGAAAAGTAAATAGAAGAATAAGGAGCAGAAAAACATCCCTACAAAAAATAAAAGTATACGGTACTAGAAATACTCAAAAAATACATAGAAACTGTAACATACTATTTCTCAATTATCCACTATTCTGAGATTAATATTTTCTAAAAGGGAATAAGCACTTTAAGAAGAGGGAGTTGGGGGCGGGGGTTACTCCCTCTTCTTAATTGGTGTATTTTTTAATTCAGTAATCTAAAGTATTTAAAATCTGTATTTATTTCCAAGAAGCATCCCCTTAGGCCCAAAGTTACAAAGCACTATCATTTAGACCATAGTTATATTTGGTTTCATCTGCATAACTAGTTTCGAACTCTGCATTATTTGTCAGTCTTTAAAGATTGGGTGGATCTCAGATTCTTAAAAATCCACAGATTTTTGGCTCCTCTTGAAAACCTAAAAGACCTGACAACATATGCTCCCATAAGGCAATAATTAGCTGAACAGGAATAAGGGTTACTCCGGAGAGGACATATATACCCACTGCCCAGGACATCTATCACTGCACACTGTCTAACCAAGATGGATTCATTCATTACTTACCTGGTGCCTTTATACATTTGAATAAATGCAAGCCAAAGCTAATACCACTGTCATAATGTAAATATAATGGAACTTAATAGTAATACATAATAAGTAAGTTATGTAAAAATATAGTTGACCCTTGAACAATGCAGGACTTAGGGGCACCAAACCTCTGTGCTGTCGAAAATCTGTGTACCGGAGCACCTGGGTGGCTCAGTCGGTTAAGCATCCGACTTCCGCTCAGGTCATGATCTCGCGGTTTGTGAGTTCGAGCCCCGCGTCAGGCTCTGTGCTGACAGCTCAGAGCCTGCAGCCTGCTTCGGATTCTGTGTCGTCTTCTCTCTCTGCCCCTCCCCCACTTGTGCTCTGCCTCTATCAAAAACAAATAAATGTATTAAAAAAAATTTTTAAAAATCTGTGTACCACTTTTTGACTTCCAAAAACTTATCTAGTAGCTTCCTGTTGATTGGAAGCCTTTTCGATGATAACATAAACAGTTAACTGACAGTTTATCATAGAGTACTGATTGACTGTATATAATACACTGACTGGAAGCTTTTCTGATAACATAAACAGTTGATTGCTGTTTTTTATAATATACTATTGACTGTATATAATACAGGTAACACATTTTGCATGTTATACGCATTACACGCTGTATTCTCACAGTAGAGAAAAGAAAATGTTAAGAAAGTTCTAAGAAAGAGAAATTACATTCACAGTACTACACTGCATTTATTGAAAAAAAACAAACAAAAAACAACGCCCATGTAAGTGAACCCACCCAGTTGAAATCTGTTGTTGTTTGAGGGTCACCTGCTCTGGTTTACGTTTTAAGTCATCTAGTACAAGGAAGCAACTGCAAAGCCAGGACAGGCTCTCATCCTGATGCTCCACTGCCGTTATCTACAGGATCCATCAGGATGGGAAGAGGTCAGGAAGGATCGCAGCAATACCTCCAGAGTCCTGCAGAAAGACCAGTCAGCAACTCTCCTCTCTTCCCCACTGAGGAACTCCAACAAATGTAAGACCATATACGATACAAAACTTTCTAGTTTCAACAAATTACAGCAATATTATCAATGAACTATTTTACATTCTTTTTCTCTATCAAGTCTTCGAAATGCAGTGTGTACTTCACGCTCACAGCACCTCTCCATACAGACCAGCCCCATTTTCAAGTGCCGAATGAACGAGCACGTGTGGCTCATGACTACTGCGTAGAACTGTATACAGCATACCCACATAGGAGTATATGACAGACAGTGGTGACGACAGCCCCATATACTTGGACTCAAAAGTCAATCAGATAAAGAGAAAATGGAAAGAAAGGTATGAGACAAATAACAAGCACATGTACAAAAAAATGCGTGCTAGGGAAAGGGAAGAAACCAACACGGCTATGTACAAATCATGAGTCCAAAGTCACAGTAATGACACCCAAGCTACAGAAAAAATTAAATTTAGGTTGTGACCCACATGTAAGTTTTAAACCTGAAGGCTCTTTACGTAGAAAGAGCAATCAAACTTCGTTTTCTGTTTTGACTTGCTTTACTGTCAGTTATATGTGAAAATCAGCTACTTTTTAGAAGAAAGTTGAGGAAAACTATGCTTTGAAAATACTCAGGAATTTTATGGGAAATCAAGTTAGTTTATATATTAGATTTACACAGGGAGCTCTGTTAACAAAAATTAATGTCTTCTGCCATTTGATACATCTAAATTAAAAAAAAAATGTTTTACATTTATCGCAGCATTATTTATAGTGGCCAAGATAAGGAAGCAGCCCAAGCGTCCATTCACAGATGAATGGATAAAGAGGTGTTCTATACGTGTGGTATATACACACTATGGAATATTGCTCAGCCATAAAAAAGGACCCATTTGCAACAATGTGGATGGACCTAGAGGGTATTATGTTAAATGAAATTTAAGAAACAAATGAACAAACAGGAAATAAAAGAGACAAAAAACCCCAGACTCTCGAATACAGACAACAAACTGGTGGTTGCCAGGGGGGAGGTATGCATGTGATAGATAAAGCAGATTAAGAGGTACAAACTTCCAGTTACAAAATAAATAGGTCACAGAGATGAAAAGTACAGCATAGAGAACATAATCAGTAAGGTAACACTGTTGGGTGACAGATGGTGGCTATACTTATGGTGACCACTGAATAAGGTACAGAACTGTTGAATTATTACATTGTACACCTGGAACGAATATAACACGGTATATTAATCATACTTCAATAAAAGAGTATTCCAGGCAAACAGTTAATTCACCAATAGTTAAATTCACCAATACAGTAATAATAACTTGAGACAAGGATAACTACTAATTATGGGGCAAAAACTAACAGAGCCTTCCCCAAAACAGTCTTAAACACGGAAAACACTAATTTGCTTAGAAATCCAAATGTGTATGTAGGAAATAAGGAACTTACAATTATTTGCAGGTTGTATTTTCTACAATAACCAGATAAAAATATTTTAAGCTTATAGGGGTGACAGGTCTGATCATTCCCTGCCAAGTGCCAGGTACCATGCTAGGTGTTTTTTGCTGTTTGTGCTTATCTGTTTTTAGAAGGGGAGGAAAAAATAAGAAAGGTTATAAAGATGAAAGAACAAAAAATCCGAATAAAACACGTTCCTGGCTCTTGCAGATTAGCAC